GGACGAGTGTTTGGGAAACTGATCCGAGTGGTGGACACGCCGGGAGTTTTAGGGTGGGAGCGGCAGCTGAGAAAGCTCTGTGGGGACGTCCTCAGGTCCTCCGGACCTCACCTGTTCCTGCTGGTGCTGAGCGTCGGTCGGTTCACCGTGGACCAGGAGGAAGCTCTGAGGGTGGCCGTGAACGCGGTCGGGCCCCGAGGGCTGGAAAAGAGTTTCCTGCTGTTGACGGGAGGAGATCTGCTGAAGGATCGGTCTCTGGAGGACTTTGTGCGTGAAGGTGGAGACGGCTCGTTCTCAGAGATCGTGGGACAGTTCGATGAGGTGTATCACCTGTTCAACAACAAAGATGGAGGACAGGAACAAGTGAGAGAGCTGCTGCTGAAGGCGGGACACCTCCCCACAGGTAAGAGCTGACCTGATGTTGCTGTGGGCGAACAGCTGCTCACAGCTGCATCTACACTGATTTTAAGTTCAACTACTCATTTAATCTCTGCAACATGTCAGGATGAACAAACCGACGCGATAAAGAAACACTGCTGTTCAAGGAAATGTGTCAGACTGGTTATTTAGTTTACTGCAGACCACTGTTAAAGTATCATAGTTAAAGTACACTGTTGGTGTTTCATACTGCAGGTAGTGGAGAGCAGGGTTCCAGTACATGGTTGGTATTGTTCGTGATTAATTGTTGGATTGGGAATTTAAAGTAGGGTAATAAAGGAAACACATTAGTGCTTATGGAGCCTTTTATTGGGTTTATTTGACATACGATTAAATCGACAGCTTGTGAAGGTGGAGAGACAGGGGGCTGGCCCTCCTGTGTCAGAGCCACAGTTAGAGCTGCTTGCACTTAATCATTTGTCAATAACCTAAACATATGTGAAATGAGAACTTGTAAAGGTACTCACCTGTCCTGGTTGCTTCTTGCAGGATGTGGAGCAAAAGAGTGAAAGCGGCTCAATCACCTGTTTAAGAGCTCGTGGAGCAGACCAGTGTGCCGGGTTAGGGAGTGTGGTTAAAGAGGGTTTTAATTTATATAATAATGGGTGAAGCTTATGTTATTGGTTTGTTTATAGTACGTGTTGGAAACATGTATGTGTGTGATGTGCTTTAATGTTATTGTATGTTTGTTTGTGTGGAGGGTTGTTTTCATGTTGGTTAGTTAACCCCACACTTGGGCTAGTCCGGATGCTCACCTGGAAAGGTGGAGTAAAAAGGAAGCCATTGTGTTTAGTTGTAGTTAGTGTTCGTGCTGTTGTCATGCTCCGTCTTTAATAAAGTGCCAATCCATGGACGTCTTTTACTCCAGTCTCGCGTCATATTATTGGACAGAACCGATGACCGCCGGCCAAAACTGACACTGCACCTGATGGGGGTGGGGGTGTCGGGGGTCTGTTTTCCAAAGATGTCTAGTGGGCTGGGTGGGGGTCGTTCACGGGTCACTGATGTTGCTGCTCCATCAGCTCCT